AGGCCCTACTTACTTAGACTTGAAAGAGACGAGGGATTTCTAAAACCTTTTGTTTGAACATGTTGGGAACTCTGGATATATTGAAAAACAGTATCAATCATGTAAATGTATATTACACTTACCTAGGTCTTTATCATTCATCCCAAGATGGTTATCCAACTCGGTACAGACTTTGGATACCAGGGAGAGATATTCAAGCTTGTCCAGTTCTTCCATTGTTACACTGTGACAGTGGACATACGCGTAATGCGTTCAGTTCGATGCGATCTGTGTTAGACCGCAATCAGTCACAAATAAATAGGCTAAATGTCAAACCTTTCTTCCTTTCAGTCCTTAATTCGACATGCTTAATCTGTGGTGTACACCTCTAGCTTTCACGTGTCGATGAGATCTCTCTTCTTGCGTCGTGAAAATGGAAATATTACAGATGTCAGGTTTTGAAACGTTTCCAATTTTCTCACGCAGCTAGTACTGATAGGCGCCCTCTATTGGCTACTTCGTGTAAGCCCGGACAGGGAAGTAGACTTGTTTGCAGTCTTTCAATAGCACTACTTTAACCCTCCCTCGTAACAACAATGAACATTAAAATATTATACACTACAACACAGAATAGTTTGGATCACTAATTTATTTTCCACGCTCAAGTTTGGTGGAAAACAAGGAAATAGACTTGCTCTCAGTCTTTCGAGGTCGACTGATCCCCAATATTGACGCCTCCCTCCCCCCAAATTAGTGAACGTGAATGAGAGACAATAACCCCGCCCCAGTACGGAAAACAGGTATACGGTATACATTAAAGGCTGAAACTATCGTGCAAATACCTAAGTTCTCAGTAAATAATAAATTGGTAAATCGCTATGCGTGCAGTTCAAAATAATTCTCATTCCTATGAATCATATTTGGGTTTATTGACTTTGTCGGTTCAACATGCAGCTCTCAAAGTATTCAAAAATAGGCGGCTCTATACAACCGAAAAAGGTCAATTATGATAAATCAAATACATACATGATTCCATTTATTTACAATTCTACCATATATACACTATATACACAATATTATACAAATGTACGAAGAAACAACGCGAAATAAAACTATGCTGCTGCGTTAAAGCCTTCGTGAACTCAGTCAGTCCCAGCCCATTCTGTATGTTTGCAGTTAGAGAAGTGACATCCGGAAGACGTAACGAGAACAATGTAAAATGGAAGGTAATTTTATTTTTTCCCTGTTAAACTCATGCTATACCTACAAACTGCGTGCGATGACGACAGAAAAACATTCAAGAGGGAAATTCCACCGCCTAACACAAGTTCACCCACCTAGTGTCCTTTAATGAGATGCAAATTTTACCACTTTTGCCCAACTTTGTTCTCAACATTTCACTCAAGCAAGATGAGGAGGACGCGCGCATACTGTTCCCCTACGTTCACATCCTCACAGGTCTCCTCTCCCGGGGCGGTCGTCGGTGGTTGGGCGGTCTGTCTGGAAACTGCACTTCCTCCTCGTCTTCGACATCTTCGTCGTCTTCGTCGTCGTCGTCGTCTTCTTCTTCGTCTTCGTCCTCCTCTTCTTCTCCGTTGGCATTGGCGTCGTCTTCGACATCTCCCTGCACCAGCGCCTCGTTCTCCTCCTGGTCCTGGAATTCCATCAGCTCAGGCAATGCTGCAGCTATTTTTTGAGGGGGGGGGGGTTAAAATGTCGCCGTTAAGATGTGCGGATTGCAGATGGAACGTAAAACAATACCTCGTGCCAATCGATTTTCAGAAAAAAATATATAATTCGTAACCTTTCATGCCATTATTTTGTGGTTGACTTGACAATGACAGCAATCGCCATCTTCTAGTATAGCAGTTGTACCCCAACTTGTCGTGCCTCTTTTTTTTTTCAAACGAGTGTGACCTCCCTTCGAAATTTGTCAGAGGAGCCATTTAGCGCCAATCTCACTGCTGAGAACTTAGCGTATGGCGTGTGTTTCTGGATGTTTCCTCGCCTGAGATATCTCTACCAGTCACCAAATATTCACTCACCAATTTGTTCGTCAACCGCACCCTGCCTACCGGCCTGGCCTTGAGCCGCCGGCCCCGGCAGCGCCGCCTGCACCGCCGCGTCGTTCTGCCTCTGCTGCTGCTGGCCGGCTACCTGACCGCGGTGCTGCTGGTGGTGGACCGACTGGTGAGCGTTGGAGTCGGCCTCGCCCGGTGGCAGGGATGGGGGCGGCAGGTCGCAGTCCCGCGGCCAAGTGAATTGGCGGACGTTGGGCAGGCCCTCGATCAGGCCGATGCTGAGCGCGCTCCGGTAGACGTTCATGTCACAGGCGTCGTACCTGAGGACAAAGATATTAGAATTTCCACTTCACTGCGGCAAATGACTTCAACTTGATAAACAGAAAATTCTTCATTCCGGAAAACGGGAGAAGATGCTTTCTCGGACACCAAACCTGGATGGCAACCTAAATTTTCGACACTTCGTACACGACATCATCGCTCAATAAGGAAAAGAGATCAAAACAGGTATTTCAGCAACAAGTGCTGTAAAAATTCAAAATTTGGAAACAGAAAAAAATGCACTGCCCGGGAATCGAACCCGGGTCGCAAGAATGAGAATCTT